TTTAATTATTTTTTATATGTTGATGTATATATTTAGATATGATCTATATTTCTTTCTATATGTAAAATACCCAGATTTATGTGTGTGCGTATATACCTGTAGATATTCCGGGTGTGTGTGAAAACTCCAGACTGACAGGCTGCGCGCCACTGTGTCCTGGGGGCAGGGTGGCAGCACACTGAGATGCCCCCTAGTGGTGTAACTCCCGTGAGACTCCTTTAATACAGATTCCTGGTTCCCATCCCAAACCTATCAAATCAGGCTTTCCAGAGGAGGGGCCTGGGAATTAATGATAAAAGATGCAGTGTGGCTTCTTGAGATATGGAGTTCTTATCCTAACACTTAGATCATTTCAGTAGCTATAAACAATCACATAGAAAGATATTTTATAGATACTTTTGTCGGGCTTCCTAATCTGTAACAAGTTATAGGTGGTCCACAGAACATGCCCTGTCCCATAAATCCATGTTCCGTCAATTGACTTGGGGAACTCATTTTTGCTGCCCTGAGGTATCCTACCTGGCCCTCTACAGAGCTTTCCTGGCTGCCATCCTCCTGAGAGTGGATCTCTAGCCTCTTGCCCTTGAGTTTAATCAAGTTAAATCCTTTGCCAGATCGCCTGGTCAGCGTGGTCAGCTAACTTAACATGCCTGGCCCTGAGGATTGTAAGCTCCTTCCTGAGGACAGTGACCCCATTTGTGTTGTTCCGCTGTCTCCCCAGCACAGTACCCATCTCACAGTGGGCACTCAGAAAACATCTGATGAAGGGATAAGATACCCAAGCCTATGTCATTATGAATAAGCCACAAGAAAGGCCTTTGTTATATGATCTTGCTTGGTAGCACAGAAACAATTCTAATGATATTAACAAACCTGAAAAAGAAGTGGTGTGGAGAGATTGGAAAAGAGCAAGAAAAGCAGATATTAAAGTGGCCGGGTGAGCACAATGAAAGGAAGAGGAAGGGAAAGACTGATATACGCCCTCCTGATCTCCCCCATGCTTCAGTCCTCCAATAAGGCTGCTGTTGGCAGCTTCCTTTTGTCCTCTGGGGGCCAGGACCGTATGTTAGGATCACTTGGTCCCCAATAACAATGTCCCATTGGACAGCCGAAAACTGTGGCTACATGCCCTTCTCTCTACTCTCTTTCCTGGTGCAAATATGCAACTTCTCCATGTCCCCACGTCCAGTCAGCATCTGAGCATCCCACTAGGAGTCTCTCATTCTCTCATCGAGGTGTCGTCTTAACCAGCAGACTCTTAAGAGGGCTGGTCACAACATGCCTCTCTTCTCATGCGCCTGCTCTTTATCCTGCAGCTAGTAAGGCACACAGCCCCTCACTCGTCAAGCCCAGGCTTCTCTTCTACCTCCTCTGTCGTAGTGGGGTGTGTGTGTGTGTGTGTGTGTGTGTGTGTGTGTGTGTGTGTGTGTCTAAGCCCATAACAACGGCTCTGTCCTCTACATTTTAATCCCTGCTCTCTCTTGCCTCATCTTGGATCACACGTGACTGGTCCTCTCTCCTCTCCTCCCAGTGCAAGAGGTCCTCTTTGTCACCATGTTTGTTACCATTGTAAAGTGACGTGCTTTGCAGTTGCACTTGACAGTGTGGCACAAGGGAGAACAGCAGTGGGGAGGCCTATCGAATCACAGAGATTTTCTCCCGGCTGCTTTCTGGGGGCCACTTTTCCCCTCTAGCTGGAGCGATGGTGCATGTGCCAAATGCTCAGGTCTGATCTGGAGTAAAAATGTGCACACGGCATTATGTTTATCATGCCTGACTCTCCTGTACGAGTTTTTTTGGCCCTTCAGAGTCTACCTCTCCCCATCTTCCTCTGTTCAGATGAGTGTGTGTTCACACCCTCTCCCCTTTGGGCTCTTGGTAGTGCTAGCTCATGATCAGGCCTGACAGGGTTGGCTGGGGCCAAACAGGCCCACTGAGTGAACATAACGTTTGGCAAGAGTTGTGTCCATGGAAGGAAGGCAGGTGCTAGAAGAAAGGCTTACTTACAGGTCATTAGAGGATGTCCAGTCAGGCCCTCGATTGGCCTGAGGCAAATAAGGGCCTTAAGGGCTAGCACAGTGGTACAAATGGGTGCCAGGAATTCAGCAGATTTAGGTTCTCCCAACATCTGCTGAGCACCTACTATGTGTGTGGGCACTAATTACTCACACAAGGAATACCTCACTTAACCCTATGAGAGGAGTATATAGCTCTCGTTTGACAGTGGAGGAACCTGGAACCTTAAATAACATACCCAAAGACACCTGCAGAGCAAGTCCAGTCCTCTGACTTTAAGTCTTTGTACTTTACACTTCATAACCCTGGGTAATCAAGGATCAGGTAATATTTGGAGAACTAAGCAGCCAGGTAGGCAATGAGCATTAGGTTGCTATCAAAACTAAACTCTTCTCAGGACTGGAAAGTTATCCTGATAAGTCCTAGTTTCCTAAAGTAGGCTTGGCTGGGTCTCAGGAACAAGTCAGGAGCCTGGTTTTAAGAAGCGCAGTCCGAAGTCAGAGCCAAACTTGTGAGTAATATGATGTTGAGTTGCTGAAGTACTGGATCCAGGCTTCCAACATCCTATCTGCCCACGGATGGGGTTCATTTCAGAGCCTGCCTGTGGGGTAGGATGGGATATGAAGAGAAACGGAGTTTGAAGATTAACTTCACCTGTAGGGAAAGGCTACAAGGGCAGAGAACCAGATCTTGGTCCTAGAAAATCATTTAATATCTCACATTTATATCTGGACCTACTAAATGACCTCAAACAAATCATTTCACTTTTCTGGGTCTCAGTTCCTTTATCAACAAAATGAGAGGCTGAGTGCTGTGGCTCACTCCTGTAATCTTTGGGAGGCCGAGGTGGGAGGATCACTTGAGGCCAGGAGTTCAAGACTAGCCTAAGCAACATATCGAGATCCTGTCTCTACAAATTTTTTTTTAAAAAGCCAGGCACAGTGACATGCTCCTGTAGTCCCAGCTACTTAGGAGGCTAAGGCAGGAAGATCACTTCAGCCCAGGAGTTTGAGGTTGCTGTGAGCTATAACAATGTCATTGCACTCTAGCCTGGGCAACAACAAAATAAAAACAAAAATGAGAGAGGTAGATTCAACAATATTAGGATGCTTGCTGGGTCTAAATTTCTCTATGTTTTCTCTAAGAATCATACTTTTACATTATTTTTACCACTTCTCTCTGACTATAGGGGGAAAATGTAGTTTCCTATTAAAGGAACTTCTGGCATAAGTAAGGTAGGTGGGGGAGATTTTTTGTGGCTGGAGAGCTCTGGAATGACACCATATGGATAGTTGTCAAGATATAGGTCCATGAAGGTCGTCTGCAAATTTTCATATTTGGAGTCAACCTCATGATTATAAACTTGTAGGTTAATCTTTTTATATAGTTTGTAGAGTAGCTCTGGTTTTGTCAAACAGGAGTCATTTGACCCCACAATCATCAGGATATTTTAGTCACTGTGGAGCACTGTTACAATTACATAAATTTAATCTTTTTTGGCCTCAAGAAGATTTTAAATGTTATGGCTCTTAGGATATGAATTTTTCACTGAGCTTTTTTAGCATCATGTATCTTTGTCTCTTTAACAGACCTGACATCTCTTCATACAGAGTAAATCTCACATTATGGCTAGAATATCTTTTAAATCCAAAAAACTTTAAGATGAAATTGTGTAAGGAGAAATACCAATGTGTGAAATGGCATGGATGGGGTTGTATGATATTAAAAAATCAGTAACAACAGATTTATTCATGTCAGAGGCATAGAAGAGGCAGCATATGTAGGCTCTCAAATAGGGCACAAAGCAAGCAGCCAGTGAGATAGTGCCAGCTTTTGATTAAAAATTGTAATAGCAGGTGGGGCGTGGTGGCTAAGCCTATAATCCTAGCACCCCAGAGGCTGAGGTGGGAGGATCACTTGAGCCCAGGAGTCTGAGGTTACAGTGAGCTATGATGATGCCGCTGTACTCTAGCCTGAGTGACAGAGCAAGACTCTGTCTCCAAAAAAAAAAAAGAGTAAAAGCGGATGCTGCCATTTATGTTTCTCATGTGCTTTTCGTTGTCTTTGGCCAAGTACTTTCATGTCTGCTGAGTGGGTATAGCATTTGGTGAGGTGGGAAAGAGAATTGTGGTCAAATCGTCACAGCATTTTTCATTTAAAAACTCACTAGGTTTTTGCCTCCTGCACTTCCACCTGTAAACCTGTTTTCTGACATGCTGGCTGCATCATTTTCCATCGCTGTGGTGGCTTATGGTATCTCAGTGTCAGTAGGAAAAGTATACGCCACCAAGTATGATTACAACATCGATGGGAACCAGGTATGGTCACCCTTTTGCTGAACTGGTTTTATAGGGCTGAAAACAAGCAAAAAACATAAAAAATTTTTGTGTCAGCTAAAGAAGAGGTTGAATTCTGGATTCTTTCATCAGTCCTCACTGGGTTGGTTTTTCTCTTGTGCTTGCTAATTAGAAGTTATTTTGAAATATGGCATGCTGCGTAACTTTGCAAACTTTTAAAAAATAAGTTGAAGTAATCCTAATTTTAAAAGAGCAAATTCAGTCAGGTCATTAATAACATTCAAAGTTAACATATTGGGTCAGAGTAAGAATTTTTCAAGTAACCCAGTGTCTCCTGGTAATTATTTTTCATGGCAGTTATAATATGACAAAACAGTGCAACAAACATCGTTAATGATAGTTGTGACCACTTTAAATTGAGGTGGTTCACTGTACAATTAATAAACACAAGCAGCTTCTGTGGGCATATGATACATTGCCAGGTGAGCTGATTTCACACTGCTTGCAAATCTGCAAGTGTTGTACCTGTAGTTTCTGAAAACACGGCATAGCTCTCACTGCAGCTAAATGATTAGTAATCGAGCAGAAGAATAGCTCTGGTGGTCATAATATCCTTCACAGCAATGTTCGATGCTTTACGTGAGAACTGCAGACTCACCACTCACCAGGCAGTGAAAAGGCATTTTAGCAAAGGATCAGTTACTATTGTCCACCTTAAAAATTATTGAGAGTATCGAAGCCTCTCTTAGCTTGCAGGAAGTCGGAGTCCAAACTCCTGATGCGTTACGAGGCCACCCGGTACCTTTAATGGTAAAAATTAAGTTGGACCAACAGGCAGGGTGGGTTTGGGAATTTGCTTTCTTACTGTACTTCCTTAAATACTCAGCGAGGGTCTTGCAATTGTTCTATTTGTAGCATCACTGTCATCCAGTCTCTCCCTTAGGAATTCATTGCCTTCGGGATCAGCAACATCTTCTCGGGATTCTTCTCTTGCTTTGTGGCCACCACTTCCCTGTCCCGCACCGCTGTCCAGGAGAGCACGGGGGGAAAGACACAGGTACGAAGTGACAGCTTGGTGATATCCATCTCACGGAACAAGTCAGGGGAGTGGCAGCTCAGAAAGGCTTGCACAAGAACTGAGCAGGACAATTAGCCTTTGGGACTTGTATGTCCTGATCTGATTCAGCTGCACTTTCTTGTCCGCCCCCCCTCCCCCCAACTAAAACCTCTTAAAAGACAACATTTGTGATTTTCTGATACAGCAAGTCTCAGATCTCTTTGTGTCAGTGCTCACCTGGCACATAGCTACACTTACCTGCTTTTCCAGGGTCAATAACAACGGACAAGGAATCAATAACAAAGAACGCTGATTTTTATCAATTTGTTACCTGGGGAGAGAGAGGGCCTAGTAAAAGCATTTCATGGCTTGGTGAGTTGCTATATTTTGAGGAAAGTGAAAAGCCCTGTTCACATTTCCTTTACAAGGATCAAGAATTTCCTCCAGAGGCCTTTGGTCCCACAGAACACCAGTTTGCTAGCCAAGAATATTTTTGTTGTAACATTTTTGGCATTTCTTCCTGAGTAATATTTTTCTTCCCTAAAGTTCTGAATGTGAGTTTAATCTTACCCTTTAAATGTGGTTTTCAGTTGTTGTCTTTACAAGGTGACCAGAAAACCAGCATCCCAGTTAATCTCTGGATAATCCCCCCCCCGTCAACAGTCAGGAAGCTGGGGAGCCATTCTCGAAGGCCACCCCTTCCAGCCAGACACGGAGTCAGACATGCCAAACCAGTGGTCGGGGCAAGGGACAGACTCAGGAATTGTTTCTGTCTGTTATGCCTTGAGGGTTTTATTCTCCCAACACAGAAAGAACTATTTATGAGTAAAAAGTACGTTGAGACTGTAACAGAGAACAACAAACCAACTACATGGTATAAAGCATACACCACAGAGTCTTCAAATGGGTTTTATGAAGGCAGAGACACAAATAAGTATAAAAGAGAATGAGAAAACTAACGACTCTGACAGTGGCTTGCCCAGGGAGAGCTGTAATCATCCCCATGGTGCGTGTGAGGCTCCTTTCCTATTTATAATGGATCTTATGACAGACTTGGAAGAATTGGCATCTTCCAATTTTTTGGCTCCTTTTGAACAAAAATTTAATTTTCAGAATTTTTTCTTCAAAACAAAATTTAAAAAAAAGAAAAAAAACATTTCCAGCTCTGCAGGAGCAAGTAAAATAATACAGCCCATTCCTGAAAGCATAATCAGAGATCTGTGGCCAAGGGGAAGAGGTCAGAGCTAATTTCCAAAGCTGTGCCCATTTCAGGCCCCAGCTGTCAACAGCAGGAATTTCTGCTGCTTTCATCTGAGACAGAGCACTGACAAGCTGTCGTGAGTGTGTGGTCTTAAGTAGGTGCAGGCAAATCCCAAACTGCTGGTGTCCATTCTCCTGCTGTTACCTCTAGGCTCAGATGAGGCTTGAGCTGGCCGCACCGGTAAGAATGCCCATGTAAAGTGACCTCCTTGGCACAGGCTTGGGCGGATAATGATACTCTGGTAAGCAAATATCCCCAGCCCCACACTGGAGTGCATTATATTTAGGAATGAAGGATGCCAGGATTTCAGGAATGAAGAATGAAACAAGGGCAGAAATGTCTTGGTATTTAATTACTGAAATGTACACTAACATTCTAGGGTTAAAAGTCTTAGTACCTGGACCAAAACCCAGGGACTCCTGGCCAAACAAACTGGCACATCTTCTCTTGTGTGGCTTCTTGTATTTTCTCTTATGCTGAGGGCTCAGTTTCGGCATCTATAAAATGGGCATGATAATTGTATCCATCTCATAGGGATGTTGTGAGGATTAAATAAAAAAGTGTTAAGTCCTAGCACATAGTCCTAGCACATACTTGTAAATGCTTGTTGTTCCACTCCTAAAGGTAGGAACAGCATCTTACTACCTATGATACATATATTGTACCTGACACGTAAGAAACACTTGGCATATATTTGCTGAATGAATGCATGGAAGAATGAGTATTGGTGGACATTAACTGGTCTCAGCACATGTACAGATTATAGAAAAACTAAGCATTGCAACCTGCTCTTTCTCTCTCCCCCAATCTGACTCCTACTGACCCATGAAAAAGTAATTCTGATTACCAACTGCTCTCTAGTTTTCGTTACCCCACACTTAACAGAGTAATTGGTTTTCTAGTAATTGAATCTTCTTATAAAGTCCAGAGTTTCTCACAAACAAGCCTTATAAAGGAAGTACAAATAATTAATCCCTTACAGATTTTAATATAGTAACCAAATTAGCCTTGGCCCCCATTAATGTAGACGACTTATTACATATACTTGGCAAGTAGGTGGCCACTCTGCTGGCACTCTCCTGTGGTCCCTGTCCCCAAATCTCCCTATTTCTCACTGATTCACAGAGCCCTACATCCACGGTGGGATGCAAATGGCTCAGGAAATATTGATTAGTAAGAAAGTTAAGGAAGGAAGGGAAGGGAAGGGAGGAGAGGGAGGGAGGATATCAGCTTCTCTGTTTTGTTTTTTTTTGAGACAGAGTCTCACTGTGTTGCCCAGGCTAGAGTGCCTTGGCATCAGCCTAGCTCACAGCAACCTCAAACTCCTGGGCTCAAGCGATCCTTCTGCCTCAGCC